TGCCAAAATATAGGTGGCAAATTAGGACACTTAGATTCACTTTTCCTATTTATTAAAAAATTCGCCTTTGCCCCACATTTACTAAAGATGTATTTCTTTTTTGTACAAGTTATTTACTCATGATCTTTGCCAGTTTTGTTATGGTCATCAGTTTTCCCTTACTTGCGTATGAATAATATTAATATTTACCATATTGTTTCAAATGCTATCTGATTGCTGTATTTAAAATTACTTTTATGATATAATTTCAATTGTCTTTCAGTAGAAAGAATTAGCATAATTTTTATGTCTGATTTCTGCTTTGCTGTCCTAGATAACAGCTTTTCCCACTTTAAAATCATGTAAACTTTAACTATCAAGCAAATAAGAAATCTTTCAGCAAGAAAACAGGTACAAAAGCAATGTATCACAATCAATATACATTTCCTATAAAAAGATCCTATTTACCATAAAAGAATCAAACACTGGGAGGCTTCTAATAATGAAGACCTTCTTGCAAAAATGCTACAAAACCTTACTGAAGGACATAAAAAGAGACCAGAACAAGTGGGGAGATATTTCATGTTATTAGATAAGAAGACTCAATATTGTAAAGATATCAAACTTTCCCAGTTAATCTACAAAGTCCATTCAATTATACTAAAGGCCTGAAGAAGTTTTCATAATGATAGAATTTGACAAGCTAATTCTAAAATTAATATGCTAAAAAATAAATATATAAGAACAGCCAAGATATTTATGGAAAAAGAGAACAAGGAGGAATGATTTGTTCTACCAAATATTATGATAAATTATAATATTATGGTAATTAATTCAAGTGACTGGACAAATAAATTTTTTAAATAAAATAAAGATGCCAGAAACAAGTTATAGAACATTAGTAGGCTGTAAATGTGGCATTTCAAGCTCCTAAGGAATTAACTATCCCTAAGTAGCACTGATGCACATGATTACATATGTAAAAAGAAAATAACATGTCAGTCACACAAAACAGAAAGCTAAAAGAATTGGAAGAGAATATATATTTTTCTATCAGGAAAAATTCCTCATAAGCTAAAGACAACAAACAGGATTTATGAATTAAAATTGCTAAATTTGGCCTCACAAAAATTCAGATATCTCCATTGAATAGCTTAGTGAAAAAGATACAAAATGCCCTTGATGCATTTGCAGCAGATGTAAAAGAGAGGAACACTGTGACCAGTATTACAGATGACCCAGTCAGCTCCTTCATGGCCCCTTGTAGTGCACCCTACTGCATTCAAGACAGAAAGCCAAGGTGACACCTCCCAGGTTCCTGTGGTGTTGGGATTTGGCACACAACCTAGCTAACACTAGCATGCCCATTCTTAGGCAACTTGGAAGAAAAAAACGAGGCAGACATAGGATTCCTTCTGCTTCTGCTGCTCCTCCTGGGCAGCTCAGTTGCTGGGGTGACTCTGTTCCTGCAGCAGTGGACACCAAGGTCCCAGTGTCCAGGACTTATACTCCTGCAAGTGGAAAGCCACACTGCAACCCACTGTGCACCCGCTTACTGGGATGAATTGTAGCTAAGGTGGGGTGGGCCAGGAGCCAATCATCATGGAGATGGTGCCCTCCAGTTTGCTGGAGCCAGAGGTGTGACAGTGGCTTCCTAGTTTCCAGCTTTCTCCCCAGTCTTGTATCCTGAATGTGACAAAAACAGCCACTCCCTAAACTACCATCAGCATAGTGCCAGAAGCCATTCCTGGGAGCTCCCTGCAAGGCCACCCTTGGGCCCTCCCTCAGTTTTAAGAATGCCTAATATACTTAATATCCTACTAATTGAAATAGCTGCAGTGGTCTCTGTTGTCTGAGGGCATACCCAGCATTAAAATGAATTTGGTGCCAGGGGAAGACTGTCCAGAAGGATAGGAATCTGGGAGAATCTTCCTCCCTCTTGGGTTTAAAGTCTTTAAAATCTGTTTTGATTGCAAACGGTGGCTATAATTCGAAGGAAAACCCATGGCCACCTTTGTTACAATGTTTTTCTAAGCCATGATTTAGCCAAACCAAATACCAACTGCTGTAGCATAGTAAAATGCCGTTCAAGAATATTAGGACTACAGGGGTGAGTTGGCTATTTGTAACTGGACTGACAAATTTAAATATCAAAAATGATGGACTTGGCAGTTTAAATTTTCTTTTCAAAACAATAAGAAAAAAGAAAACACTTTCCATGGCTTTTTTAACAACTTGAAATTCTGCCTAGCTGATGTAAAAACGATAAGAACCACAACAATAAAGCAGGGTATGCAGGTAACTGATTCTACGGTTACTGAGTAGCATCACAGGTGCAGTGCACAGGCTGCTCTACATGAAAATGAAGACTGTGGCTAGAGAGCAGGAGAGCAATAGAATCGAAATTGCACTGCTGAGTGATAAGGTCCCAAATCTGAAGGCCCCTCTTCATCAGCAGACCCACTGCCCCTCCATCTGATGAGACTGATCATGATCTGCTTAGAGACAGCATAGTAACCCCACCGGGAAGGCCTACCACCTAGAGAAATGATCCTTTTAATTACAACCCCACCCTCCACACCCCTCGTAGCCTCTACCTCTAGTATAAGAATTGATCTGAGTTTCCCTAAAGCCTTAGTTACAAGGTCCAATCAAGGGAAAAGGACTGACACACTAAAATCACTGTACATTTCTGCTCACTTGTATTGAAAGACAGGGAACTCGCATGAAACGGATGCTTGCATATTCTATCTAGCTCAAGGACAGAGAGGAGCAGTCTGGAGGAGGCCTCACAATGCACTCAGCACGAACTCAGAAATTCTAGGTTCAGTGTTGAGCTGCAGCAACTAGGAGAAGCTTTGATGTTCGATTGCATTCGGCTGACTGACCACTCACAGTGCATCCCTGAAGATATCTACAGCCAAAATAAACACAGAAGGGAAAAAAGTCATTAAAAAGAGGATTTGAGCTCTTAAAATTTAATGACAAATAAACCAGCAAACCCCTAGGCAAGTCACGATGATCGTTAGTGCGCGGTGATAAATATTCTGAACAGGAAATTCTGGAGAATAGGCTAATCTTGTGGAAATAAAGAGAAAGCCCCAGAAAAGAAGGAAAGCTGGATTTCCCGGGTGCTGGCAGCATTTGCAGAGGTAGAAGTAAAGGTGACCCTTCCAGGCGAAAGAAGACCTAAGTAGGAAACTGACCTGCCAAGGAACTGTGAGGTCAGACATGTGCCTGTGGGTTTTCTATGCGTTTACAGCACCTCTGAACTGTAATCTTTTGAGGCGGGGGGTCCTGGGGATCGAAATCGGGTCCCTGTGCTTGCGAGGCTCTGAAGTGTAATCTTATGGAATCAATCCTTCAAGGAGGCCTTGTTAAAGCCACAGCCATGGTCTCGGCTATGCTGGGAATGCGGAACCACATGAGGCCAAGAAGGTGTGAGCAAGACAGAGGTAAGAAGACGGAAGGAGGGAGAGAGCAGGTAGGCGGGACTCCCCCAGACCATGGTCATGTTACAAGCTTCGCAACCCGGAGGAGGACAAGCTGAGGGGAGCGGATACTGAAACTTTCTGGGGCAGGGCACTGAGACATGGAGTCCCAGAAATCACCAGGTTGGAGGAAGGAGCTGACTTCCTGCAAGTTGGTGGATGGGGGTGCCACCGGGGGAAGGTAGTTACAAAAAGGAAGTATGATCTATTTGTGGCCACAGAGTGGTAACATAGAAGCTTTATGAGCTACAGTAAGAAATTGTACCCAGGTCCCGGTTTAATTATTCAGGAAGAAGCCACAGCGCCACTGAGATCATGGAGATGCTCTCGGCAAAGTGAAACTCTCATTTCTGCCCTCTGTGGCTCAATTAGCGACACCATTAAGTCGAGTGAAAGCAGAGTCTCATCAATACCAGGCTGTCAGTGAGACCTCAAGTATCGCTATTCCCTTGGACCCACATAAATCTAATTACTTGTGGACAACATAAGTAACACCAGACTCTCTGCTGCCCACTGAGAGGAAGGACGGGTTGAAATACAGCTCCGATATCAGTCTGAATTAGAACACAGAGGTTAAGAGCTGGAGAAAGGAAGAATCACTGAGTCTTAGGGATCACACTGCCTAACCGCTTGTTCTCCGGCAGGACACACTGAAGCTGAGAGAATGAAAGTGACTCTCCAGCCAGGTATGGCAGCGCACACCGATAAATTCAGCATTCTGTGAGGCTGAGGCAGGAAGATGGAAAGTTCAAGCCCAGCCTAGGCAACCTAGTGACATAGACACGCTGTCTCGAAATCAAATATAAGGGAAGGAAGCGAAAGGGTCACGTGGTTTACCTCAGTGCAAAGGCCCGGGGTTCGATTTCCAGTAACGAGAACAAAAAGTGTCTGACCGAAGACTGATAGCTAGAAAATGAAAAGCAATAAAGTAGAACCGATTGAAATGCTTCAGTCATTCTATTATCAGACCTATAGAAAGATGTAAGCCTAGGTCACCGAGGTGAACAAAAGACAAATGAAGTCGACATCTGCCGCCTCTCTTTTTTAAACTACTCATTTAACATTTTTATTTACTCTACTTTGTTCAAAATTTCAGTTATAGTATTTTATACAATTACTGAGTGATTACTCTAGGGGTCATCATACACCCTGAATGATTCTACATCAGGTATAACATGATCATTTTCAGACAATGAAAGTCCCTTTTTCAACGCTGCACTGCTACTGCCAAATATTTTATTCTTCCCTAAATTAGAAAATCCACACTATATTTTAACCGTTATCTGCTATAAATAATTACAAGTAAATTAATAACATTTGCTATCTGTACCATGGATTTGCCATTCTTTCTACCCTTTCTCTGTTGATGTAGACATAAACATTTCTGGTATAATTTTCCTTCAGCTCTGAAGATCTTTTAATACATCTTGTAGTGTAAACCTCTGGTGACAAATTCCCTCTGCTTGTTATTATTTATTATTATTATTATTATTATTATTTTATTATTTGAAAGTGTTTCTATTTGGGGAAAAACATTTTGAGAGCTAACGGACCCAAAATATATGTTTTCACTTTTCAGCACTTAAACGTGGCATTCCATGCACACCCTTTGCAGTTAGGACTGTCCCTCCAGAGCACGTGTGTCCAGAGGTAGGGCTTGGGAAGGTGACCCCGTCATGGGAGGCTGGACTCATGAGAGTTGAAGGTGCTGCTAGGATGTTGAATCTAATTGGACAAGGCAGGTTACTTCTTCCTTCTCTCTTTCCCGCTGCTTCCAGGCTGCCATGAGACTAGATTTCCTCCACCCAACTGCTGAAGATGCTGGGGAATCAAAGGTGAAAAAGTTGCTTTGCTCCTGGAAATAATAAAAAAATCATAAATCAGTAAATCAAAGTAAAATAATAAATCACAAAAAATTCTATAGATAATAAAATAGGTAGATGAGGTAAAGAGCAATCCACTGGTTACTCCTGTCGGCAGGATTAGGCAAAACTACTTGAAAAAGAGTAATTGAGCTAAGACCTAACAAGCCACCCACTGTATGATCCAGGAAGGAGCATCCTGAGCCAAGAGAATTCTTTATACATTAATCTTAAATCAACTTACTCTGGTCACATGATGCACACAGCGTGGTGTGCTGGAACCTATACATTACTGGGAACTGGAGACTTGTTTGTATCATTGGAGATCAGCTCAGGCAGAGGTTTGAACTAATGCGATAGCTACAGAGATGGAAGAGACTGCCTGGGTTCTGATGGGTCCTGGAAGAATTGAGAAAGACAAAGTAAAAGCTTTTCTGTTGTCTTGGTCATCCATAACTTTTGAAAGTCTATGCTAGGTCTTCTTAGAAGGAAGATGGCTTTCAAATCTACAGAGTCATTATGTGTTCATTTCGTGAATACCTTTGTCTCTCTCAGTCATCATTTGAAATTCCACACAGTTTTATTCCATGAACACTTCAGTCTCACTGGAAGGACTGCAGACAGAGCGTGACTTTTAAATCAAGTATCATCTTTTTTCTTGTCTCCAAAAGTGGGACACTTTGCCCTCAGTTTGAGTGTCAGGTCAGCAGCATCAAAAGTGTAAAGTCAAAGTTAAGTCCAGCCTAAATAAAGTATGGATGGGTTAAAGGCAGGGTACCACAAGGGCCCAGTTTATCCAGCACCATTAAAGAATGATCAGAGACTGTGCAAGTTGTCCTCTCAGCTCTGATAGAACTAGACAGCCAAGATGTCTCAAGAAAGAAATCCTGTTCAGATGAGACCTGTTTAGCTGTCTTTTTAGACAGAGCCCGGACTTGAAGTCAAACTGATACAAAAGTGAATGCTAGCTCTTCACTATGGGTCCATGAGCAAGACACTTAATTTCATTAACCCTTCATCTCCTAACATCTTGTATTGTTAAAAAGATAACGGTATGTCCACTTTCTGTGTTTGCTGTAAGAATTAAATGAGCTAATTTGTAAATAAATGTCAGTACCTGAAGTGATTGATGGCCATTTTGTGGTGTCTTCCCTGAAGTACAAAGATTGTGTCAAGTTTCAGGAAATATAAATCCTTTGGCTAGGATATTACACAATGGAGAGATCGTTCTGTTAGAACTAGCATACGAATGTAAATGACAAATTCCCTTAATATTTTCTTGTTTGGAAAATCTTCATCTGCTTTGATCTGGATATTTCTGTTTCTCTAAAATTCATATTTGAAGGGTCTAATCCCCCAAGTGTCGCCATTAGGTAGGGCCTTTTGGAAAGTGATTACATTGTAAGGGTATACTGCTCCTGAATGAAATTGGTGCCCTTGTAAAAGCTCAAAGACCTAGAAAGCCATTTCCACCATGTGAGGACAGAGCAAGAAGGTTCTGTCTATGACCAAGTCAGTGAACACCTTTACTTGGAATCCCCAGGCTCCAGAGCTCTGAGCAATAAATTCCTGTTGTTTTAATAAGCTACTGAATTCATGGTACAGTGTTAAAGCATCCCAAAGGTACTAAGACAATACCTAATAGGAATAATTTTTATTTCATTTATTCTCAAGTAAATGGTTTGTTGCTGGATTCTTATTCATATTTTCTGTAACTAAGAGAGAGAAGATAGCGGGTTTGAGACAGTTTCCATGATGAAGTTCAACCCCTTTCTTTTCTTTCAATGTTGCACAATTTAAATATAATGAAAGCAAATATTAAATATTGAAACAGGCCACAGAAGTTAGAGGTAGGAGAAATTGAGACAGTAATGAAAATTACATTTGAGTATATTGAAGACAGGGCATGAGCCACATGCTATGTTGTATAATTTCCATCTTTTCACCAAGCCTTAAGGATGATATTATTTTCCATCTTGCTGATGAACAAATTGTCGCACATAGTATTATATAATATATTGTGTTGTATGCAATTATACAAGAGTTATATAACAATCACACACATGCGAAGAGGCGGAACCAAGATTTGGACCCACATCTGTCTGACTCCAAAGCCCAGTGGATTTGCACTACAAGGAGAGAAAGGAAATTGCCATGCCGGGCAGTTAGACAGGCACCATGCAGCCTGGAGGGTGAGAATGAAGAAGGGAGTTTGAGCTAAATAATTATTTTGCATGATCTTTTCATATTGTGTTGTATGGTCCTCCCCTCCTATGATATGCAGTTTTGGGGCAGCATAGTCAGTCCCTGCTCCTCCTCAATGAACTTGGTTTCCCTGAGCTGCTCAGCCAGGCTCTCCATGGGGACCCCAGTGCCTCCAGCCCTGCCAGTCTTGTCCAGGCCAATGGCCTCAGCCTTCTTCCTCCAGATCCTTTCCTTCCCGGCCCTCCTCACAAGACCACTCAACTCTGACTCATAAGCAGGTAACCAGAAGAAAGAGGCAGCTTTTCAGAAATGCAGAAAGAAGAATGATAACTCTGCCAAGGAAATTCTCAGTGAAAGAGCAATCCAAGGACCATAAAGAGCAAAGAATGTTTTCTGTTTTCAAAATTCTCCAACACTGATCAATGATCTCCTAGGAAATGCAGTCACCAGATGACGTCTGAAACACTACTTTGTATTTGGTTCAAACTGTGGAAGACCCTGGCTCCCTCCAGGAGTGTCCTGAGACATGGTACTGCTCAACTATCTTTCTATCAAAAACAAAACTAATTTTCCTGAAAACCAGCTCCCTTGAAAATGACCAAGGGCTTATCTACAGGAAATGTAACTGTAAGGCTAATTTTTGCCTCGTTAGACTGATAGATCATGGCTCTCTCTAACAAGTGCTTTTAGTCACAATATATTAAAGGAAGAAAATAGGAATGTGATGCCTTTGACAAATTCTACTGGTAAATGAATTCAAAGAAACATTTACACCCTTTTGGAACAGATATTGTGAATAAAACCACTCCTTCCCCTGATATATTCAAATCATAACTTTGAATTCCCCAAAGTTCTTCCATATTCATTACATGATTTTATGTTCAAAGCCATAACATAGAAGGAAAAGTAATATTATCCCAATTTTGTATTTTAGAAAGGCAAGACAAGGAGGCAATATATGTTCTCTTTAAATTCACAGAGCTGGTTAATGACAAAACTAAGCTGGGTAATTTCTTCTAATATGTGGAATTATTTTAATCTCTTAGATTACTTGTTATTTCTGAAAGTTTCTTCTGTTTCTATAAAAGGAAGCTGCTCAGCACTCCACAAATGTTTACTGAGCATCTCTTCTTGGCAGGCAAGGATTTAGAAGGCGGCGCTGCACTGAGGAACACAGATCATCTCTCCACGAGCAGGAAGCACACTTTCTAGTGGGAGAACAAAGACGAAACAAAGTAAACTTTTTTAAACATAAAAAAGAGAAAAGACTGCAATACTGAGGGCTCTGCCAAGGGTGACACTTTACAAGTTGCAGGTGATCATTTCAGTCTGGGTGAATCGGGTTGTTGGTTTTCCCAACACCTTCACATTCCAGGGATGGCAGGGGGTTTATAACTCACATCCCATCTCTTGTCACACCGTATCTTACTGACGCGTTTGTAACGCATTGACATATTTTATGTGCATCTCCTCCAGTCCCACGATCACTTCTCAGACTCAGACTTTTATTTAGCCTCTATCAGGTGGATTTTCCAAAACATGCTCAGACCTTCTCCCTAACTCCAGCATCTCTCCTTTCCGACATATCTTCCCCATGCCTGCAAGATTTATCTTTGCGAAACCTATGTTGGGTGAAAGAATGACAACAATCATTCCAGCATTGAGATTCTGCCCAAACTTCTCTTCTAAGTGTATTTCACTCCCAGTAAATGAAATTATTCACTTGTCTTTATGCTGTATCTGTACTTTTCTACTTCTGTCCCATTGATCTCACTATCTCCAGTTACTACCTCATTGCCTCTTAGTTTCTATGGCCTATCTTTTCTCTAGGCCCCACTTTCAAGGTACCCACTGCAAGATGGAAGGAAGGAAGGAAATTACACTCTCATATCTCTTGCTCTGCTCTTGTCATTCAATTAGACTCTCTCCAGCTAGCATCCCTTTGCCCTTGGGCTCTCTGTGTGAGTACTGACTTTGCCTCACTCCTCCACTAGTATAAGGGCTAATCCGGCTATGCCATTCCCCTCACGAGCCACAATTCTTCAGCTGTAGACCTTCCTGCCTTCCTGTCACCCAAGGGAAAAACCATGGCGCATGGGTGGTTCAGTGGTAGAATTCTCGCCTGCCAATCTTTCTTCATCAACTCCACTACAGTATAATCTCACCAAGTCTTGCTGATTCTGCCCCTCATCTTAGGTAGAAAATGCCCAGGTGATGTGGTATAACACCTCAACCGAATCTTTCGTAAGGCTCTATATCAAACACATTAATATTTGTGCAAGAAAATATAAGAATGTTTGCCAGGAATGAGGTCTGTAAAGATCTATAAGGCAAACTTGTGCAACAAGAAATGCTAAAGAACGTGTTTCCCTCTGAAAGCAAAGGATAACAGATGGAGATGTGGATCTTCACCAAAAAGTGTAGAGCGTCATAAGTTTCAAATATCAAATTAAAAGACAAGGCCTGGCTGAGTATAGTGGCACACATCTTCAAAGTCTTTCTCCTCTGTAATTTTAGGCCACAATTTCTTTCAGGCAGATCTCAGTGTCTTTAGAGAGACACTGGCCCAGGATTTCTCAGTTAACCCCACACAGGAAAGGATGCTGTCATGGTCCTTACAGAACTCTTTAAAGGGATAAATCTGTATCTGAGGCCATCTGGAAGCACACATGGCCTGCATTCGGGTCACAACCCAAGACTTTGGTCATAAGTTGAAACTTAAATTCTGATCCTAACTCACGTTGTTCATATGTCAGACGGGTTATAACTCTTGTAACTCAAGGGTCCA